GCCGCCTCCTGGGTCTCCTCCACCCACCCAAACGCAAACCGGCATGTTGTATCAGAGGCTCAGAGGCATGCCTAGGCCACAGCCAAGTACTGTAAACTTACCATTCCTTTACTCAGCAGCTTTCTAGTCTAGTTGGCTTTTCTGTTCACTTTTCTTCTTGAAATTTTGTTTCTATTTGGAATACTAAGCTGAGGCTCAGGCTCTCGAGTTTAATATTGTAGGCTTTGAGATACTCAAAAGAGAGCATTTATTTCCAAATGTCCACATTTTTTTTGTCTAGCTATGTCTGACATATGCAACATTTTCAAACCTCAATGTCAGCACAAAATAACATTGTTGTTGCATAACATTTTGCATGACAAGTTTTATATGTTATGAGCTTCAATTCTGTTGTATGAGATGTTTCCTAAGTATAATGTATTTTTAGTTTCCTTTCATCAGTGCTCCAGCTAGTGCAAGACTGGGGGATAGGAATATTGCAGTGCATTTCAAGACAGCAAACGTGACCAAAAACACCATTTTTAAGCACAAACTTCTCCTTGACCTCTTTGGGTGGGGAGGGAAGAAGTGCTGAAGGATTTTGTACAATATTTTCTTTAAAGACAACATCTTAGAGAAATCATGTCTAGTACATTTTTGCCATTTAGCTAGCTATGCAAATGAACAGGAAAATAGTGCTCTGTCTCTCTAAAGTGGATTGATTTACAGATAATGGAATCACAACTAATTAATAGTAAATGAAAGTCTGGTTACATGGGTTAATTGGCAGATCAAGTATTCTAGATTAAAGGATCCTTAGCCTTCTTATTTTAATGGTTGCATGTTAAAGTAACATTGCAAAAGGTTTTATTAAACATACTGTCTGTATATATACGTAAGGAGTACACATATCTGCGTGCATGTGTACACACTCAGAATGCTGCGAGCACATGCACACTTTATGTGTATCTATTGATATATATTGTAGTCAGTCTAAGAGCACTGCATATTAAAACAAATCTTCAGGTGGTCCTAGCTTAAGCATCTTGGAATTCTCCAAACATATAAGTCATCTGTACTTTGTAAATAAATGTGCCTAAAAACATTGGTGGGAATCATTTCCTTTCTTCTGTATCATATGTCTTGTACATCCAGAATTCCCTAGATTTGGTGTGTATTCCACCCAAAAGGACAATGCTGTCTGATTTAAAGTGAGAGATTTCAAAGATGTGCCCCTAAATGGGATTTCCTGCAGATCTGTATTAATGTACAGGCTTGTCTGGTTACTAGAAAATGTATGTAAGTGTGTGATGTATGTAAGTGGGTGTATGTGTCCAATGGGTAATAAGCATAGGATGAGGAATTTGCACATTGATGTGTAAATGTGAATATCAACTAATCAAAGTAGTGACCTGTGCATATTTACTATCAAAATGCAAATGCCTCACGCTACACCTATTACCCAAACATATATACGCAGTATGTTTGTAGAAATGCCTGAAAGTCTCTTAATGAAATTAAGGTAGTCTACTTATAAAATTACAAACAGGTTAGGTGCCCCAAAAAGCACAAAGATCAATCTTGTCACTCATTCTTTCTCCTCCAAGTATTTATTGCTCAGGACCAAGCAGTGAGCTGTTGGCACCTAAACTCCCACACCTCCTTGCTGGGTGTTGGCTCTGCGCTGTCTGATCCCTACACTTACATTCCCCACAGCTTCTCCCTTCATGTTCCAAAAAGATCTGGCCCCATTTCCACCAGGCCATAGCAAAGATGATGGAGGCTCCATTGACCTGAAATCCACCAACCACATTTTCACACCAGCCTTTGGGCCAGGTTGGACTGAAACTTTTACCTCCTAGAAATCTTACCCAGTCCCATTGATCAGTCTTAACTCCCATTGGCAGGAACTAAGCATTTCACTGAATTTTAATTATAATTAAATCCTAAAACACTAATGATCTTATATGCTAAAAAATGCACAAAGTGAAATTATAAGGTCTTTTTTTTTAAGCAGCTATCTCCTATGATTTTGTTTAAGTCGCTTCTCTTGCCCCAACAAAACAAAACCTTCTTATGACATGTTAGTAATTCTCTTTAGCTAGAAGCTTTGTGTGTCAAAACATACCTGCTTCAGATGAAAACACATTTCAGCAGTCCCTTTGTAAATATTTGTACACATCTTATGGAATCATGCTGAATGATCTTTATTCCCATTAGACCTCATGTGCTCCTAATGACTCTGAATCTTCAAGATCTGATGAGAGCTAAGCATGAAATGCAGATTTCCCTTTGACTTCAGACTGATTGAATCCGTTTCACTGACTCAGAGAAAACCTTTATTTTTAAAATATTACTCTTTTCCTAGAGGAAAATAATTCACAATGTTTTGCAACTTAATGATATTGCCAAACATTCATCAGCTCAGCTCTGTGAAGGGTGCTACATAAGCCATGGTTAGGTTTCTTCTTCAGCTGAATGAAAATGCAACCTTGTCAACTCAAGAGAAACTAAATACCAACCAAAACAAATGAGTCCATTATTGCAGTTTCAGTGAGAAAATCTCAGTTATAGCAACCAGTGGCACAAAATACCCACACCTCATATAATAATCCAGTCCCAATACCCTTTTAGATAACTTTATCCTGCCTTCTATGTAATAGCCCAGGAATGTCTGATTTTTCTTTACTGTCTCCTCCCTAGACAGCTTGAAACAAAGAAAGTATTGAATCTACATTTTCAAAATGAAGACTTGTTCAATATGCAGACCTATAATGAAAAAGAATGCTGTAATATTGAATGTTTAGAGGCCAATCTAGAAAACAAATGTAGCAGCAATCAGATTAAGCTTCTGTTACATCTTCCCACGTCCAGTAGCCCAAACAGTCTAAAGTGATGCAAGATAGTACATTTATGCTGTCTTTAAAGAATGTGTATGCAAAATGTCACTAAATTTGAAATAAGCTGTCATAGACAATATAGCTTCATATGCAAATTTTAAGCTGGAGCACTGCTTTTTTCCTATTTTGTATTATAATGATGGTGATCATAACAATAAAATGGCTCTATGGTTTGCTCACTACTAATTACATGGCACTTAACATTTGCATGACTCTTTTTTTAAAACTTGATAACTATTCACAATTTCTTATCCACTAGTTGTAATGGCCACAGGAGTAGCAGGCCACTTTCGCTGAATTTTAACTCAAATTCTTGTACTACAGAAAATGTAGGCCGGTTAATCACTCCTGCCAAAAAGCTCGAAGATACAATACGTCTTGCTGAACTAGTCATTGAAGTTCTTCAGCAGAATGAGGAGCACCACGCAGAGGTGAGCAGGCTCCGTGGGAAATGGCCCTGAGTGACCCTTAGCAGAAGTGCAAGCTGACTCTGTCAACCGGGTTGTGAATAAGATGCCTTAACACCCATTTTCTTTTAACGGGGCTTGCAAGGAGAAGGAAAGTGGAAGTTTTGGAAGGAGAAGTCTTTGGGAGGTTGTTTCAAACAACCAAACAGTGATTGCGTGTTATACATTGCAGCCTAAATTTTCAGGTGTTTCTAGCAGTGAACAGGAGGTGAGTGCTTCTTCAAGCTAATTATTCAAGCAACATCTGGTCACCCTCGTCCAAAGCACACAAAATATTTTTTGGTCTTTTGTGGTTGTTTTTGTTGCCACCACTGTTGTTTCGATTGGTTCCTTGGTGTGTGGATCACAGGCCATCTTTTTGAATTTATCTCTGTGACTTACTCTGCTTGTATTAGTCCTCATTAGTTTTAAACTTAGATTACCTTGGTTGCTGAATGTAGTGAAAGAGCAAATTTTTCTGTGTTGTTCAATTTGTCAGTTCTCCAACATGCACCCAAATAAATACAGCATGCTTTTTTACAAACCACTATTAAAATGATGATCCTGATAATAATTATAAGCTAAAGAATTTCAAGGCGCCAACTAACTCCCAAACCAATAAGGACTTAAACAACCCTACCCTTCTAAGCAAAGTTCATGATGGTTAAACTGTTGTGTCGCTGCTCATTTCAAACTGAGCTTTAAAATCATCCTTTAAAATAACCTTTTTGAAAAGTATACCCGTCTCTCTTCTTCTACATTCAGATTTACAGAAAGAGAGGGGAGAGGCATTCCATGACAGTCATTTCTCAGTCACCCAAAGTGGTCATTCCCGTGGCTAAGTGCGAGTTGGCCAAGTAGTTAAATGATATCCAACACACCCTAAACCCGCCATCCCACTAATGCCTGATTGCATATTTAAATTTCCTCCCTGTTTCTCTACCGTTCCCTTCAATCTTGGCTGATCGTGGCAGGGAAAAGAGGTACGTGACTAAGCCGAGCAAAGCGGCCAGCTGCTGTCCTCCTCTGTGCATGCCCCTCAGTACCATGTCTTCTAATGGGACTCTTCCCTGGGCTCCTGCTTCCTAACACTGACCGAGGAATGTGACAGCACCTTCTGGTGGACTGCTTGTGACACGGATGGCCCTCCACGCAGGGTGATTGTGGAGTGATTCTCTCGTGCGTGCATGAAGCGATTGATACACTTACAACGACTGCAGTTACATCCTGATACACGCCTCCCACCCGCCTTGATTCTGTCCTTAGCCTGCAGTAGTCTTCTGTGTCCGTCTGTATTCACCTTTATGACAGCAAACGAGTACCAAGCGTAGCACCTAGTAGCTGGTGGGAGTGATACTAATCTTCCTCTGCAGCTGTCTGTATGTGAGTCATATATACAGTATTTATATATAGAGAGAGTGTCGTAGAATAATGAATACCTGAAAACCCTCTGGGAATGGGGTACAGCCCCCTGAGGAGGGGTCACTAACCATTCAGTATCTAGCAGCTAGGGACAGCCAGATGCAAGGAGGGAATCAAATCAGTTCCCTCCAATTACACGCACCTAGAACTAACCCCCAGACACGAGAAATTAAGTTGGCTTAGGGTTTTTTCCTACTCTTTTGTATGTGTTTGTTTTAGATTGAAGACTTTTGAGGTTCAAGTGATGGAAAGTGTGTTCTTTCTGGGTAACTTCAGTATCACCTCTGGAGGCTGGTGGGGCTCTGGCCTCCCTGCCCTGTATTGTAGCCATTGGGGCCTTTGCCTAAATCCACGTGCTTTTGAAGACGTAAATAAAAAGAAGACAGGTTTTCCCAGGCCTTCAAGTGTTAAAAGATGAAGGAAAACAACATATATCCTCAGTGTATAATTATATTGTTATCGGAGGCTACTACAGGCTAAGAAAGGTTGTCTCTTTGCCTAAATGTCTCAAAAGAAGGAAAGTTATTCCAAAGAAGGGATTTATATTTTTCCGGAGAGTCATTTTCCACTAAAGGTTAAGCATTATCCTACCCTGACTCAGTAACCATCCTCGCAAAATATTTTAATCTTCTGTACTCAGACCTTAGCTCAGGGTAAATAAATAAGTAGATATAACTTTAATTTTGTTCTCATTACCTCTTTAGAATTCAGCGATAAACACTTTAGCATGCTCAGGAGTTCCAGACACCAATTTTCTTTAAGACAACTGTATAGGATTATTTCCCAAATTAATAATTTTGCCCATCACGAAGCCTCATGACTCGTGTGAAAGCTGCCTACTGGGCATCTGAAGCGAGCGCCTTGGTGCTTTGTGAAGAGCAGCACAGCAGGAAGTGCTAGGCACCGAGTGCAGGAGGAGCTGCGTGCAGAGAGGCAGAGGCTTGGGTTCCAGCTTCTCCTCTCCTTCCTTCGTGACCTTGCCCTTCTCGACTGCTCCCGTGCCGTCCACCAGAAGTAACGGAGGATGGCCGTCCTTAGGCTGGAAGGCCACGATAAACTGAGCATCTGGCCTTTAGCCTGGCATATAGCAAGCCCTGGACGAAACTTGGCTGTAGGGGCCCTGGGAAACACTCCTAAGGAACAAATTGTGTGACTCTGAGGAAAAGGACAGAGCTCTGTGGAAGTACCTAGTGAATGCGAGCAGACAGAAGAAGAGGTGGATTCCTTTTGTGGCAGAGTTGTCCGGAGCCACACGCCCACCTGTTCGCCTTCTCTCACAGACCGCAGTCACCCGGAAGGAGGTCCTGGCGAGGCCCACACCAAGATGCACACCAGCTCCCTCAGTTGGCATCTTCCAGAGAGGGCTGAGCCCCAGAGCTGCCCCGGGACTCCAGTGTACAGCCCAAGCAGAGAGGAACAGGGCAGAATCTACCTGGAACCCTAGGTGGGGTTGCCTCTCAAAAAAAAGGATGAAGATTTTTTTTCTGCTACTCATATTCTCTGGGGGCTCAGTAAACCCTTCAAAAAACATCACTCAGTCCTCAGCACAGATCTTAACTTTGAGGCAGTGCTGTTGGTTGGTACCACACAGACAAAAGTGACAAGCAGACTTACCTTCCCCTGCAAAAAATAATAATGATAATCTCTAAAGCCATGATTAATTCTTATACAGAATAACTAAATGTCCCAAAAGAAAAAGATACTCATTAGCTAATAATAATCCTGTACTATATACAGTGCACTATATGGTAACAGTTGTCACATCTCTCTTTTACTTGCAACTTAATTCTAGTTTAAGAGCCTGAGCTATTCCTATGCACATGAATTTACGCCTACATGAAGTGACGCTGCCCCTTCCCAATCTCTCTCTATGTATATGTATGTATATGTATATATGTATTGTGGTATACAGAGGGGTACATATATACATGTTAGTCGGTGTGCAAAATGTACAGTGTGTTCAGTGTGGTGAACTGTACCCTAAAGCACACAACTTTGTCTTTGAGTAACAGAAAGCACTGGGTAAGTATGTAGAAGCTAATGTGTAACTCTCCTTACCTTTGGAAAAGGTTTATTCAGACTTTAGGTGTCCATGACCATTGTGAATTACCTCATCTATAAAAACAGCATTCACCAAGCTGGGTGTGGTGGCACACGCCTGTAATCCCAGCACTCAGGAGGCTAAGGCATTAGGATCCCTGTGAGTTCAAGATCAGCCTGGGGCTACATAGGGAGTTCCAGCTGTCTCAACTACTAGTGAGACCCTGTCTCAAAAAAACAAAACAAACAAACAAAAACAGCATTCACCTTTAGGAGGGAGCATAAATTATGTATATATTCTGCCTCACCCATCCGGCACACAAACTCTGTTCAGTAACTGGGGCTACACTGCTTTTTTGGTTTTTACTGCCCTTGCTAGAATCTTCTCAGAGAGTCAGGTTTGATTTTAAGGTTTTGAAAATAATTATTTTATATGAACAAAAAAAGCTCAGTTTTCACTTCTACAAAGTCCCAAACTGAAATTCTCTTGGTCACTTGAATCCATCCACCAAGTCCCCCACCAATAATTCATACCACGGGAACCATAGAGCTACCGATTTATATGATTATTATTAGAAGAATTCTAGGTACTTACTCAGTAATACAATAAATTACAAAAAGAGACTGAATTCTCTACAGATGGTAGATGTGGTGCTTCCTACGGTCTCTGGTTTGCAACTTTTAAATTAAGAAGCCGGTAAGAACCAGATATGAAGTTGGACTAAGAGATTTTTACTTTCAGGCATTTGTGGTTGGCTTTTCTTTTGGTTTGTTTTTTCCTGTCATCCTAGAGCAAAATCATGTCTGGGCAGGAAACACAGTCCTCCCCAGTAGCCATTTTCTTAGCCTCATACTGAAGATATAAAGTTAATGATTTAATGCAAGAAAAAGTACTAGCGATGTAGGGTTGCGCACACCTGTAATCCCAGCATTTGGGAGGCTGAGCCAGGAGATCACTGCAAGCTTGAGGCCAGCCTGGGCTACATAGTGGATTCAAGGCCAGCCTGAACTGGATAGTGAGACTCACTCTCCAAAAAAAAAAATAGAAATAGAGAATGAGTGCTAGCTAACATTTGATGTGCTCCTGTGAGTTCTACAAATACCTTGAATCGGGATTATGAGAGTTAGCCTTCCACGTAATTTTAGGGGTGGGAATGGGACTCCAGTAAATTCCAGCAATTAAATGGCTTCTACATAAAGGAGCTGACAAAGCTCTGGGGGTGGGATGGAAGATTTTTTTCTCTACTGGATTTAACCAAAGAGTCAGTGGAAGAAGTCTCAGGCCCCAGGGTAGTAAAGCCACAATAAAACCTCATCAGTTCAGACCCAAATATAATTTGATTGCAGACAGTTTAACTGCAGATATAGCTTTTCTAATTTTTCTTAAATAAATTCTCTGACATGATCTCAACTCTGTCTTGAAATTCTAAAGGTTCTTCATACACCAGTACTTTTTTTCATCCTAAAACCTATGACATTAAATCTTCTATCTTTTTAAACTTTGATTTATCAGTCAATGTATCTATAATTATCAGGATTAAAAAGTATGTTACAGACCTACACTAATATAGACAATATGAATACTATAAATGGTATTTACTTTGGTTTTCCGTTACAGACTACATTCAAAAGCAGTAAAATGATGCCTCTTTTTAAAAAGCTTAACCATTCAGGATTTTTTTCTGTTGACAGACCAGCATTTGTAGGCTCCCTTTACTCTGAATCAGTGAGGTTTTACAGTAAATTAAAATAGAAACAGCAGGTGTCTATTTCCAGCCAAGCAGACCTTGCAGAATGGTCCATGACTTGATTTTTTCCATTTAATTTGCAAACCAGCCACACGTTGATAAAGGAGAAGTAAGTAAAGTGAAATCTCACGAAAGAAGAGAGGTGGACCCCTGTTCTGCCTTCCCGTGGCTGTTAGAATGTCCCTCTAATAACCGATAGATTGCAGAAGAGCTTGGCCATTGAGCAAACCCTTTCATTTATGGAATTATTTCCATAACCATCTTTCATGTTTCCAAATGCCTTCCCATCATTTTTTGGTGAATGCTCCGGAAAGTGTTTCCAGTGTAAATACTTTATAGTGTTGAGTGGGGAGGTGGGGGACAAGACGGGGCTGGCAATTTGTTTTTGTTTTATTGCTCTCTTTGAAATCAGCAAACAGGGCCTGTTGACACCGCCACTCATGCTGCATGCTCCCTGCCAGAGATGATTAGTCACCATGCATGCGTGCCTTTGAATTGCATTCGCATCTGGCCCATCTGATGTGAATGTCATACCTGAGACCGTGCACAGTGATTTTCAAGGGCTCACGTGCATGCAAATGAGTTACTTCACTGATATTTTTTGGTTTTCAATGTACATATGTGTCCAACCTCCAGAATGTAAGTTCTGATCTTGGTATCTCCTACCCTAAGCCTGATCTTTCCTTCAGAGCGGATGTAAAACCAAGGGCTCCTTTGCAGAAAGAGATTTTGCCTCAAAAGTTCTGTGACAATTGCAACAATGGTTTCCTTTGACATAGCATGAAGTAGGAGTAATGTTTCCACTGTGTAGGGAGACGTGAGTCCCTGAGTTCATAATTAGCCCCCAGATACATAGATACAAGTGCACAATAACTGCAAATTTTCAAGTTAGACCAGCAGAAAACCCACAAACACAGTGAAGAAACTCCCAAATTTTAATACCTTAGAGCAAGAACTAGCCAACAGCAATGATACAGAGCATGACTCAAAACCTACTGAGTTATTGTAAATTGAACAGAAGTTCCAGGTCTGTCATTTCTTCAGCTATACCCTGTGACCTACACGTCAGGCCTCTTGGTGGCAGGCTTAGAACTGTGAAGAGCCCTGCCTTGGACTCGGAGAGTCCCGTTTGAAGCCAGGATGCTGTTCTCTTTACAATAAAGTGACCAAACCCTGCTGGATGCACAGTCAGTCTGAAACAGTGAGGGCTGGAGTTTGTGTCCTGAGTCCAAGAAAGAAACTCACCTCTTTGTCTACTGTTTTTCTGCCAAATTTCAAAGGCCTTTGCATGGTGGTCAGACTTAATGGTGGAACATGCCGAGACATTCCTGTCACTCTTTGCGGTAGACATGGATGCAGCCTTGGAGGTGCAGCCCCCAGACACGTGGGACAGTTTTCCAGTGTTTCAGCTGCTGAATGACTTTCTCCGTACCGACTGTACGTATCATCTTTGAATGCGAACTTTCTTGTGTACTATGCAGATAAACGTGGTGCTGGGATATCTTTATTCCAAGAAGACTGCAGGTCAGAGGGACTTCTTTTATTTTTAATTCCTTTAAGTTTATCGGTACATTTTAGGTGCACATTATGATCACTTTCATCATTGAAAATTTGTACCTGTAATGATCTATCTTGGTTCTTGTTTTTTTCCCCACTCCCCTGCCCTCCCTTCAACCCCTCCACCCCTCCCTATTTACAAAAACTTCGCTTCTGTTTTTTTCCTTCTTTTCTCAAATTTTTTCCTTTCCTTCTTTCCTTTCCCCCATCCTCCTCCCTACTTTCCCTTCCCTTTTGGACCTTTTCTTCCTGTTTTACATTATCTGTTATACATTTTGGTCCTCATTTACTCTTGCAGTTTCTCACACCATAGAAAGTATTTGGTATTTACACATGTGTGTCCTATTTATTTCACTTAAGAATTTGGCCTCAATATGCATCCATTTAGCTATACATGTCTCAAGTTTTTCTTTACAGCTGAGTAGTACTCCATTCTATTTTTTTAAAAATCTTCTTTACCCAGTCTTCGGTTGATGGGTAATTGGGCTCTTTCCAAGATTTAGCTATTAGAAACTGTGCCACTATGAATATGGGTGCACTTATATTGCTGTGGGATGATTCCTTTAATTCTTTTTTGAACATACCCACCAAGGGAATAGCTGGGTCAAACGGGAGCTCTGATCCTAGTTCTTTGAGGAATCTCCACACCGATTTCTACAGTGGTTGCAGCAGTCTGCGCTCCCACCAACAGTGGAAAAGGGTTTCTTTCTCCCCACAACCCCACCAGCATTTGTTATTGATTGATTTCTTGATAGCAGCCATTCTTTCTGGGGTGAGGTGGAATCTCAGTGTTGTTTTCTCTGAGAGAATTCTTCATGGTTATATTATTAGCAAAAACACATACACACAGGCTCCCAAACCAAACAGCTGATGGGTGTTCCCTGCCTTCCAGAGAGTGTCCTGTTGTGGGGAAGCCCGCTCCTAACTAGAACAACCCAAGAGCAGTGTGAGGAGAGGGATCTGTTCCTTGTGTGTTTTTACTGGAACAAATTAATTAGCTTAACCTCCTCACATGGGGAAGCTTTATCAAAAGATGCTTTCTGGATGAAAAGTTTCTTGGGCCAGGGATTTAGCTCAGCGGTTTGGTGGCCTGCCTTGCAAGCACAAGGACCGGAGTTCAATTCCCAGTACCAAAAAAAAAAAAAAAGAAAGAAAAGAAAAAAGAAAAGTTTCTCACTAAACCACATCACAAGAATTTCTTTATGTTTTATGGCAACAGCCATAAAACAGCCTTCCCTGGAACAGCGATGGAGTAGAATAGAAATATTCTTTCTTCCTGCTATTTTTTTTAATTCACTGAGTTTATTGGTACAGTGAGGTATACATTAAGATCACATTCATTATAGGGAATTGGTACCTTAAAGATGTATCTTGGTTCTTATTTTTTCCCATTCCCGTTTCCTTCCTTCCACCCCTCCATCCGTCTCTACTTACAGAAGCTCTGCTTCCGTTATTTCCTTCTTTTCTGTTTTTTTTCCTTTCCTTTCTTTTTCCCTGCCCCTCTTCCCTAAATCCCCTTCTCCTGCTTCCTGCTAATTTAATGAGAGGAAAGGGAGTGGATACAAACAAAAAAATTCTTTGAAATGGTGTGGATTGTTTTGTTTTTAAGGAGCATGATTGTTTTCCCTTTTAGAAGAGTGACATAAATGGGTAAAGTGTTTTTAACTCCATTCCCCTTGCAAACAAAATTTAGCATGAGCTTCAAGGCTGTCAGTGTTCCTTTTCTCCCCTCCTCCTCCTCCTCCTCCTCCTCCTCTTTTTTTTGGCTTTCTTCAGAGCTGAGTATTGAATGTAGCAAACAATCATCTCTGTGTGTGCTGAACTTTGATAAAGCAACTATAGGTTCTTACCAAACTTCTGCTCCTCTGTTCTAGATAATTTGTGCAATGGAAAATTTCACAAACACCTGCAAGACCTGTTTGCCCCACTTGTTGTTAGATATGTGGATTTGATGGAGTCCTCAATTGCACAATCCATTCACAGGGGCTTTGAGCGGGAGTCATGGGAACCAGTCAAGTAAGGACACCTCTTTTGATACTATCGGAGTTTGGGTTCAAATTGCTGCAGAGTCACACACAAATGGGCTGATGGTGTCACTTGATTTTCATTGTCAATATGGACAGAGAGCAAACACCACACATGTTTCCTGCTATGGTACTCAGACCTTCCTTGACCGAATGGAGGATGAGGAGTGAGAAATGGTTCATGAAGTATGACCATTGTTTTATTGCACAACAGAAATAAGAATTAACAGAGATAAACCTGATGATACCAGTACTGTGTATTTTACTCAAATAGTAATATCCTCAGAAAGTATTTTCCCCGGTGTGTTCCATAGGGTTTTCGGGAGCGTCAACAAAGTTTTTCTATAAAAGGCCAGATAGTAAATATTTAGTCTTTTTAAAGTCACATAATCTGTCTTAATTACTTCACTCTGTCATTGTAGCATGAAAATAGTTATAGTTTGTATGTAAACAAACAAGTGTGGCTGTGTCTCTGTAAAACTTTATTTAAAAACAGGGCTACAGTTTGCTATCCCCAGGTCTAAGTCTTTCCAACATAACTTCAAAAACATAAGGGCTCTTTTTGTAGCCCAGGGTGTTTAGGAAATGCTACATACCCCACTTCTCCACCCACCCCCCTCATCCTGACACTAGCATATTTAAAAACTAAGAAGTTGGTAATACAGAGTCTTGCTACCCTGAGTTTCCTAAATGTAGCTGAGCATGGTACATGTTTTGGGGTTATAGCCTGCATTTCTCATCGCAGGAGCTTCTGTGAGTTGTGTGAGTTTGTTCATTTCCACAACTGCCTGGCAGATCGTAGGGCCTACCTCAAAGTGTTGGGCAGATTCAGGGGCAGCTCCATCCCCAGTCAGCAGGGGGCCTGAGCTTAGCACTGCCAGAGACTGATCTCAGACCCCTTTTTCTTCAACATGTGGAGAGTTTTTAGTGTGGTCTGAAGAGTTCTAGGAAAGCCTAGTACTGGTTTTTTCTGTTCGATTTTTCTCCCCACCATAATACTTTTAAAAAATCATTCTGTTCTCTCTATGCATCTTTGGGCTGTAGCAACCAGTATGAGCAAATGGGAGATATGTACCAGCAAGTTCTAAGAACAGATGTTCAAAAGGCTCTTCCTCAGCTTGGAAGCCTTGACTTCTGCCCTATTTTTAAGCAGTTTTCTGAATCCGGACCCTCCCTCTGATATTAGATGTGTACCTTTCTCTGCCTCCTGCACATCTGAGCCACAAGAGAATTTTTGGCCTTGCCCTACTAAGAAAAGGTTAATAGATAGTAGCTCTTTAATTGCAAGTACTAAGAAGTCTAAATTTTAGTTTTTTATGCTCAGGTTTATAATGGTGGTGTTGACTTTTAAATCATGGGTATAAGGCCAGGTCCTGTGATGAAAGGCATAATGAGGGACTCCATCTCTCATTAATTACCACGATAATCAAATCAGTCGTGCTTTGGAGAATAGCTGTGAAAAAGAAAAGGTTTAAATGAGTAATATTCACATTTTGAAAATAGCAGTGGTCTTGAAATAGCATTTACTTCCTTGAGTTTAAATGCGGAAGGTACTACTGCCAACACACATGGGAAAGAAATGATTGCTATCCTTCACTATTCCTGGAAAAGCCCTAGATTTAGGGTCTGGTCGTCCCTTTACCAGCCAGAAGGCAAGGGTTTGAATCTCTATGAACTTGTTTGCTCATCTGCAAAACCGCTTTTTGAAAAAGTCCCTACCCAGGATCTGAGAATTGTCATGAAGATCTGTGATAATGTCACGAAAGTCATTTTATAATCTGTTAAATTCTTCAGAAGCCAAACATATGACTGCTATTCCTTTGGAAGCATTAAATATTCTTAGTACTATCAGAAGTAAAGATAGAATCAAAATCATTTTCACAATTGGAAGACTGACTCTGGGAATGTTTTGTTGGGGATTTTTTTGCTGATGAAAAGAAGCTGAACTTGTGGATCAGTTCAATTAGAAAGATCCAAATCTTTATAAGGGAATAAGTGTTGTGAGTAATCACCTGGGAATTATGTACATCTGTTTGTTTTTTAAATAAGTCTGTGCAAACTGTCCAAAACTGTGCTGTGAGTTAGTGAGTCTGATTTTGCAGGGTTTTTTTTTTCAATTTCTGCTGAACATTACATGCCCGTTGGGAGTATGTGGAGATTTTTCAAATGGCCAACTAAAATCTGAGTCAAAAATTTTTAAATTACACATCTTATCAGCTGATTTGTAAATGGAGTGTGGATGCTGTGAGACAGCTTTGCAGAAAGACATTGAGTGAAAGGTGAAAACAGAGCTGGGGGGCCGGGGATTTAGCTCAGTGGCACTGCACCTGCTCACAAGGGCAAGGTCCTGACTTCGATCCCTGGTGCCCGGCCCTCCCCGCCAGAGAGCTGGCAGGCGTGGGAGTGAATCTCTCCACAACTCCTGCCACATGAAGAAAACCAAGTTCAGACTTTCATCAGTCAGCGTCCTTAGAAGAATGCTGATAAAGAAACAGAAATTCGTCTTTCTCCTTAGGTTTTTGTCCAAGTAAATAACAACCATTTTGGCATCCTTTTCAAGTTCACCCCAAAACAAGAATCTGACTTAGATAAATTTAGTTCACAAATTTTTTTCAATTTTTGCCACATGATCATCCAGCACGCGCGCGCACGCGCGTGCAGCCTTTCTCTTGAACAACTGCTATCCTCAAATAGTTCTGTTCTCCCATTTTTCAGAAGTCATGATTATAGGCACCGGATTACAGGTAAATATGAGAAATGCAACGTAAAGCTTACTTTAAAATAACTAGGATTCAAAATATTAAAAAAGAAAAACAGCATTCTGATGAGAAAATGCTACCTGAGCTGGGCATGGTGGCGCATGCCTGTAATCCCAACACTTGGGAGGCTGAGGCAGGAGGATGGCTGTGAGTTCAAGACCAGCCTGGACTCCATAGTGAGCTCCAGGTCAATCTCAACTACACAGTGAGACCCTGTCTCAAAACAAAAACAAAAACAAAAAAAATGCTACCTGTGTGTTGAGGTTGCTAAAAATAGAATTAAAAGACTTACCTATCTTTCAGATTTCATTGTTTCTGCATATGACCCTGTAAAAGAAAATAGAGATATGAATCTCTGGGCTTGATACACCTGAGGTTATCAGATGGATGCACAGAAGAGCTAAGCCTCATGGCTGTCTTTCTCTTGAGGACGCTTCCATCTCCTAGGAGAAGAGAGAGAGGCTGTTTCTGTTGCCATTAAGCCAGATGCAGTCAGGTTGGAATCTCTATACATCATCGGAAAATGTCAGTGTGTGGCTGGCGGCACAGCTGGAGATAATCAGCGATTCAGAGACAGGCCCGGGTTGGCCATGACATCTGCAGCCCGCAGTGCTGTCCTGGGTGTCATGAGCATATGTCATGGGGATCCACTAAGTTGGGCAGGTATTTTGCAACCTTCCTGGGACCCCTCAGTACAAGTTTTGGGCCCCAACAAGCAGGTGGACAACATTCCCACCACCTGTTTTCTGTCAGCTAGTTGTTAATAGTCATAATGGCCTTCAAGGTAAAAGAAATTTTAGAGCGTATCTAATCACTCTTACCGGGTCCGTGACTTCCCAGTGCCCTTTTCTTGACAGACGGTCAGTCTCTACATGAACATTTCTGGGCACAGGGAATCCTTGACTTCATGACCACCCCTTATAGGCTAGGATGGCTCTGACATTGACACTAAGTGCTGCTTCTTGATAGATGCACACTGTAAAATTCAGCTTCATCCCTTCTCTCTTTTCTTCTTTTTCTTTCCTCTTATTTCAGTGCTGGGAATTGAACCCAGGGCCTTGTTATATGCTAGTGCACTGAGCTCCATCCCCAGCAGCTTCTTCATTTCTGAAAGTGCATTTTATAGGGGCCAGGGATTTAGCTCAGTGGTTCCACCCCCTGCCTCACAAGCACAAGGTCCCGAGTTCGATCCCCGATACCAAAAAAAAAAAAAAAAAAAAAAAGAAAGTGCATTTTGTTTTTCTGTGCCTGAGTTGTGCATATGAAAAGTGTATTTAAAATAATATCCTTTTCCAGATTGCCAAAGATGTGAATCACAGAATGATAATAAACATCTGACCAGAGCAATATTGTAGGTATCCCATTGTCAAATAGATGGGTATTAGACTTGGAATCAGAACTCCAGACTCTGCTGGTAACTTGTTGGATGCCCTTAGTCCATGAGGGTTTCTGCGTTAAGATCCTCCCTCAGTTAACCTTCATGAGACTCAAAATCCTTCTTTATTAAACAAGGACTTTGAATAGCCAGAGCTTTTCCAGTGCTTACATCCAGAAAATGTGACTCTTCATATCCATCCACATCTACCCATCTGATCACCACTGCCTAGATGATCACCTCACACCCAGAACAGAACCTGGGTCATAACCCGGGCTCATACAAGATACAGACTGCAGATTGTAAGGATACAATAGGAAAACTATGGGGATGAGAAATTGAAAGAGATGCCTTTCACTGATTAGGACATTCGACCTAGTTGGAACAACATACACACAAGAATGGCTTTAACTATTTACCAGAATACCCATGTACAAATAATATGAAGACTTTAGAAGAGAGAGAAATGAAGTTCTACAGAAGGATGATGAAGGAAATGGCTTGGGGATGCTGGCAAAAAGCATGAGCTAAAGCAGAAGTGAGAGGTCAGAGTATGCAAAAGAAATTGTGAGTGTTCAGTTGGGCCAGCATGAACATTAAGGAGAAGGCCAGACAGTTTGGGAGGGTCTTAAATCCCATGAAGTTTGGAACTTTATTGTATGGCTGATGCAGTCTGGATGGCTCCACAGCCCCCAAACTGGGAAAAATTGGTATGTGGCAGAGTAGAGAAATACCTTACACTTTTCATATACAAAGCACAGGTCTACATACAGTTCATAAACAGATTTTAAAAAGTACATCTGTGGTATTAACTGTCCATGGAAAAGGAAGTTGGAGAGGGTAATGGACCAAAAAGGTTTTTAAAATACCACTCTAGACTCTAGCAGGATACCAGGGAGAGTCTATGACCGAATGTAGGGATTAGACCCAGGAAAAGACATTAAAAGAGGCTTTCATATCCAGAACACTAAGAGCAGACAAGATACACTGTGTATATTTATGCAGTAAGGGGCTCTTAAAAGTAGAAAGTGTTCTCTGTCTGAAGATCTACCCTCATCCACACTGTAAAACAGACATCTTTGAGAGAAGACACAGCTGTGTCTGCATGGGGACATAGTCTGAATTCCAATTGATTGTAAGAAGTAGGGACTGGCTCCGCCCAGTCATTGGCATCAGCAGAAATGACATGACGCATGCGCCTGTGACACCGCTCCACGTGAGCGGGAAGGATTTGGAATCCTGTGCACTAAAGATGGGGCTAAATGAAAGCTATCCTTTTTCAGCAGTCTCCAAATGAAGGAAAGAGTCTTGATTTTTAACATGTATCAGTTGTTAGAATTGCAATTCACACTTCTATACTATCTGGAGACACACAATTACGATTGTCACAGAGAAGCATGACTAACTCGTTCTTAGGTAGTAGCTAAGGGACCCCCTTTAAAAATAATAATTTGTCACAGCCATTACCAGCTTCAGAAGCCCCGTCATTGGAGCTAAGAGAACTGAGAGCCAGGAGAACACTTCCCCTGGTCACACGTGTATTAGCGAACTATTATGCTTGCAGTTGGCCTCTTTGGTTACTAGTGTGCTTTACTATCTAAATGAAATATTAGTCACGTTAGTAATACACTGTATTATTTTGCTAAAAGTAAAAATAGCAAGCCTGTTTTATTATTTTTAAAGTAGACTGTTATAATATGTCCCATGGGAAAAAGTTTCTATTTGAGCCCAGGGCAGTAGTCTAGCCAAAATGTCAGATTTTATAATTACAATATATTTTGATTAATACAAGTATTTTTTATTTTTGTGTGCAGAATGAAGTTTGCTTCTAATTTGTGTACTCACCATCCACTAATATGTTTAAATTAGGTTGCTTTTGCATTCATCTGTATGTTATTCATTTCTAGCTGCTTCTAATGTGCTCAGAATTGACATTTTAACTTTCCAGGCTGCCATCTCTAAGATCTCTTAATTCCTTGATCATTATTCAGTGTGTGTATCATTTAATGATCACATTTGCTTATATAGGCTTACACATGTCTCCGTGGAGATCGCCAGCGGATTTGTTACATGGAAGTGTTTACCACTGAAAACCACTAGGGACTGAATTCAAAGGCAAATTCCTCAGTTAACAGGGACGCATGGAAGAAAAAGTTCCATTTTTTTTTTCTTTCTACTTAATTGTCATATTTAGCTCACCACTTGACCGTTTCCACAAAAGCACACTTTAGTCCCAGGCAGAGATTATGTAATTGGCTTTACCAAACCGTGAAATAGAAAGGACAAATCTCTGAGACCCCTAGGTTCCCCTGAGGAGGGGGTGCCAGGTTGGTAGTGCTGTATTCCAGGTTTTTCAGCCTTTACCCAGGTCTATTGCCCTTAGGGAAGAGTAACTTGTTTGTAGAGGGACACAGGTGTGCGGGCATCTTCCGAGGTCGAGTTCCTGATTTAGCAGGAGTCTTGCCCATGGAGTAAGCCCAGTGGCGGCAGCTCCAGCCCCCAGGAGTCCTGTTAGTCAAACACAGCTTGCCCAGGGCAGAGCTGCTTTGGCAAAACTTGCTCTTCTCCTACAAGATCCAAAAAGAGAACCTTAGCTCCTCTGCCAAAGTGCTGTCAACTGCAGTCAGATAGGAAGGCTCCGCTCAGATGCAGAGTTAGGCTGGGCCCTACCGTGCCAGTGACTTTGGCTGGATGGAACACCCTGAAAATGCCACTGCAGAGCGCACAGTGCCAGCTCACGGAGCAGGGTACGACACAGACCCTCCAAGGAGATCACTCACTTGAGTTGGGGGTTCGTTTTGTTTTTTTCTCTTTATACACAAAACCATCACGCTCTCTTCCACACATCAGTTGGTCAATCAATCTTTGTTCAAAATCAAAAAGCTGACAGAAGGTGACATTGCTAATATTTTCTTAGTTTTGAACTAATTTTATTTTTTTTATAAAAAATACACCACTTGATTAATTTTCATACACTGAGCACACTCATGTCCTGTTCACTCATCAAGAAACAAGACATCCTGGCCTCCCAGCTGCTCCCCAGCAGCCCACTTGCTTCCCAGAGGCAACTTTCATGATGTGAAGCCCCATTTAAAATCTACACTTGGTCTCAGAGTTTTACATGAGACTTGAATGTAGGATTCTTTTTCTTTTCCTAGGGACCTGTTTCTGTGTGTAAACATTTCTCCATTTTAAATGGCCTTCATTCAGGAGAAAAAGTTACCATTTATTTTTTAAATATTCCTTAAAATTACGTAGAAGCTGATCCTCGCAGATCTGATTTCTGCATCCTCACCAACTCTGACACCCATTGTACACAGTCCTGACTGTAGAAGTAGCAGCTGGAAAACATTCCTTTTCTATATTACATCCTAGTTCTGTGTCCATTCAAGGGGTGAGCTTCCCATTCCAGTGTTTATCTGATTTCTGACTTGAAAAATACACCTCTAATGACAATAATCTATCAACAAAACTAAGAAAGTTAAAATGTGGCACCACTTGCCATTTCTGTCTTTTAAATTTTGTTTTCTGATTGACATGTACCATTTTTACATGATTTATGAAGCACAGTGTGACGTTTTGATTCGTGTATACATAGGGTAGTGATCAGCTCGGGGTAGTTAGATCTGTCACTTTAGACTTCTATCACTTTTCTGCAGTGAGTACACACAAATTCCTCTCCTCTAAACATTTTGAAATATGTACTACATTACTGTAGTTATATTCACCTTGCTGGGACCCAGAACAGCAGGATTTATTCCTCCTGTCAGCACCATTGTGCCTGTTGCTCAGTTTCTCCCCTCCCCCACCCCTCCTCCTCCGTTCCCATCAATCCCCTCTACTTCCCAGTGGCCCCAGCCCTGGCCATGCCAAGAATCCTATGAACCTCACGTTCTTAGTGTGAGACAAGTTTTACCTTCTTCTGCCAATGGACTTGGAGACTGAAGGTCCCCGCCCCCAAAGACATTTAAACAATGTGATCGTTGTGTAAGGGTGCTCTTCGAGTGTCCACACTTCCAAGTCACTCTGTGGTGAATTTCCCATTAGCACTTTTCATTTCTCTGTACCAAGCCCCATCACAGCTCCACGTCTGTAAGCTGCGTTCTGAAGTGTGTCGCTCAAGTTTTCCCTGTTGTCGTACTGTGGACTTAGCCAATTTATTTACAATTGTTGTGTGCTTCTGCCACATCTGCATTGTCACTGTGATGGTATTTTTCTTTCTGTCTGTTTCTTCCACAGGAGTTTAACCAGTAACCTACCCAATGTGAACCTACCCAATGTGAACCTTCCCAAAGTACCAAATCTACCAGTTAACATCCCTCTAGGCATCCCACAAATGCCTACTTTTTCGGCACCGTCATGGATGGCTGCTATATATGATGCTGAGTGTGTATTCAGTTCACATTAGATCTAATTTAAATTTAAGTGATCTTGGCATGGATATGTATTGTTTATTTCTATACATCCTATATAACAGAGATAGAGATGGATAATTAGACATATTTTGCTGATCGTGCAGAGACAATATTGTTTATTTCTGGCATGCATCATGTTTGTAAGACATTTGCTATATATACAGTACTAACAATTTGTCTTACGCCCACTGAATGCTTGAGGACTAAATTTCACTTCCTGAATTACTTCGTAAAAGGACCACATCCCCTTTTTAAATGTAGGTGACATGGCTCAAGAAGTTAGTCATCCAAAAATAGTCCAGGAAACCTATTTTTTTTGGCTGGCCAGTCATCTCTGACCTGATCCAAGTGTAAGAGAGAACACACCTACCTAGAAGCTGGCTTTGGAGCTTTTGTTTCTTTTAACAAAAAAAATTCTTAGAGATTGCTTAAGCCATAAGGCATATTTTTGTGTTATCAGAAGCAAGATATAGTCACAGTATGTTCAAGACTGAGTAGAAATTTCTCAATGGATCAAGCCCTAGTTTTTTTTTAATTAGTATGTGTTTGTGATACATAATAAATATATTTATAGTGGGGAATTGGTACATATACATATTGCATCTTTTCCAAGGTCAGTGTATCATACAGGGCTTTGAGATCTAGGTAGCAAGAAGGACTCTGAATATAAGAATCAGGATTCAAACAGCAAATCATTAAATTCCTTGTTAGCCATATGATCTGTGATTGGAGTATCAGGCCATTCTTTAGCTTCATTCCTCCAAATGTTTGGGTTGTAAAGGATAATTTTACCTGGATCCTGGGCTACTTCTTCAAAGCCAGCAGTTTGGGAGAGAGGAGATTAAGTAGCCATTTCTTCTAGTTTAGGAAATGAGTCCTCTTTCTTTTTTTCCTTACTAAGAAGAAGATCCAGCATCCCTAAATTCTACCTCAGGGAAATTAAATTAGAACCATATGCATGATTTAATAAGTGAAATAAGGTTTAGCAATTCTATACCCTCCTTTGATCCTTTTCTTTGACCACAGCTAATTATAGGCCAGATAAGATTTTTCTTAAAAGAATAAATTGGCACATTTTCAAAGGGAAGTGTTATTATCAAAGGAATAAAAAATGATCTGAAACTGGCAGTGATGTTTTGAAATCTCGAAATCACATTCATCAAGATGGCCAGCAGCATTGCTATTCTTGTGTTAATCCAGGTAGAGAGCGGGACATTAAAATGACTTCTCCACCTGGCTCCTCCAGTGGCCTAATATTTTTTAAGACCTATAATTGCTCACAAGTTCACAGTGGAATCGTATGGTCAATGTGTCTAGTTTTCTTTTAAAGCCTGCAAAATTTTATATTTAAGGAAAACCCAAAGAAAAACATCATATTCATGCTAAGATGACTACATTAAAGTTAGATTAGGTAGTATCTGTTTAAAATTTAAAAATAAATATCTGAAAGTCTCTCTTACCTTCTTCCGTGCATGCTCTGTGACATTGTTTTTGAAAAGATATGAATCAAGACATTGTAATAAAGCAGATAATGGTCTCCGTTCAATTAATTAAGGCATGAGTGGGAACACATTTTGGTAACTGCTCAGCAATCAAAATAATCTTGGTGCTATTGCCTTAACATTAACAGTTTATCTTAAAAATAAAAAGAAAATATTCTTTTCCTCATGTCAAAACTTAATAATAAGCTCTTCAAAGAAAAAAAAACCCTACAAGAATTTTTTGAAACTCTGAAACCAGATGGGTGTCAAAATGTTGTTGTAATAAATACCAATTATTGCATTCATATGTACTTAATGATTTAAAACATAAACCATGCAGTTCCAAAACGGGGCTTAGACTAGACAAAGTTGGGGTTTCTTTTTTTTCCCAAGCACAAGATGGGGTAGGGGGAAGGCTGAACTTTCGCAGAGAGACAATGCATTCCCCTACTTCTAAACGATGCTGTATCTGAAAAGGCGTGGATTCTCAATCCCCTCCAGGAAATGCCTGATTCTATATCTTTTCATAATTCCAGTTTTCTCCCTTGCCACCTTTCATTTTAAGGACGTGTTACCTGCTCCTTTGTGTCAGATACGTCTCAGTTCTGACCTCAGACTGGTCTGTCCTGAAAACATTGCCCTGTTGGTCCAGGCCGTAGGCTTCGTCTCGGCATGTTGGGAGTTTGCCCCTCCCCTCCCTGCAGTAGCTGTGTATGCATCTATGCACTAGCTATATTTCTCTCTGAAGCATTAATTCAATGCAGCTGGCATCTGTCACAATAGAAACACCCACTCTCATCTGTTTCTATAGACGATGTCAGAACAAGTGGTAATGCATGGTGTGTTGGACATTTTATAAATTACCGTGTTAGCATTAGTGGTATGCGAGGAAGGGGGCGGGGGATGGTCACCCCTCAGAGGTCCCAAGGGGACTGTTACAGAAGGGAAAGCCAGCGAGAGAAGAGCAAGGTGGCGAGGTCAAGCATTCCCGTACACAGGCTTTCCATGGATGCCCCAGGTGAAAGTTTCTTAGACGTCATTGTGCAGACAGGAATCAAGTCCCACTTCCCCATCTGTCCAGAGGACTGGGTGAGATCATGCAAGGAGGGGGAAGCTCAGGTTTAGAGCCCTGAAGCATTGAAAATACCCCTGGTCCGCTCGCCTCTGCTCCGCCTGCCCTTGCCCAGGGGCTGCCTGTGCAATGAAAATTGGAATAATCACCCAACTAAATAGGAACTTTGGATTCAAGGTACCCAGGTGTTCCCATCTTGATCTGAATCACTCCAGTTTTTTTCCAGCTCTTCAAGAGAGAAAGCAGGTCCTCGCTCACCACTGTGTTAGCACTGTCCTCTTAAAACTGAAAGTCTTGTGCAGTCTTCGAGAGGCCTCTGCTCTGGAGGGAGCTGAGGAAATGCATGAAACCCTGAACTTTAATAACTGCATGTTGCCATGTAGTTATTATCTGTGGAGACTTACTTCTCCCCCCGGTTCGTGGCCTTCATCTGAATCATCACATGTGTTAATGTGGTTATTAGAGGAAGGCTGATTTTTACCATACACCCTTCTAGTTGCGATGGGACAGCACAGTCTTCAGACTCCTCCCTGGTCTGGAGTAATTGGCCAAGCAAAGCCAACTAAGTCATGTATGGTAAAACTCAAAATCTGCCAGTGGAGACTGCCCCTCCTCCACGGCCCACACGCGTCGTGTCGTATGTGGACGCCAGTGTTTGCCTTAAGCCTTCTAGCCCCCAGTTGTGTCTGTGTTAGTTTCCATGGAACCCGAGGCCACTGGGTGACTCTTGGTTTGTAATTTTTATCCTGCCAGTAATGGATCAGGCACCTCAGAAGACCTGTTCTGGAAACTTGACGCCCTTCAGACCTTCATTCGGGACCTGCACTGGCCCGAGGAAGAATTTGGAAAGCACCTAGAACAACGGTTGAAGTTGATGGCAAGTGACATGATTGAGTCTTGTGTCAAAAGGTAAGCCCAGGTAGCCAGACAGGTTTGGCACACTTTTTCCATTGCACAACAACTCTGGGAAGGGCCTGTGACTCTTCTTTCAAAAGGTCATGATTTGGAGATTTTGGGGGACAGTCATTGCCCGTCAAAGTCAGCTGAAGTGGTAGCTGATCAAGTCTAGTTTCAGCTCATCTTGCTTTCTATGTGTCCCAAACACAGAGTAATTTGGCTGCCAGTTTTTTCATGGTTATTGGCTTCATGAGGAAAACACTCATGTCCATTTTTTACTCATCTCTGTATCTCCAATATCTAGCAGTGTCTGGCACAAAACATTCACCTAATAAACATTTGTTAAATGGATGACTATGGGGGAACTGAGTGGGAAGGAAAAAAGAGAAAGCTATATAATTCCAGAACAGGATTATCCAGTACAGGTAGCAGGAATCTAATGATTCGCTGGCAAAATAGGCACTTCCGAAGCGGCATTCTTTCTGTACTAGGAACTGAGCACCTACTATGTGGCAACTATTAGTTGTCTCATTCAAAGTCTTATGGGGATCAGCAAGGGTAATGAGACATTGAATATACATTTTGCCTTCCCACGAATTGTCTGTGTGTTGCTGTGGCTTATAGGATTAGGGTAGGAATTGGAATATGGCACTTGAAGTTGCCAGACAGACTGTTCCAAGACGCTCACAGGAAGAAAATGAGGATGATATCTGAGCTGTTCCCATGGGCCAGGCACAGTGCTAAAGTTCTTGGCCTACAACAAAGACAGAAAGATCACATCCTTTTCCTTGTGGAGTATCTATCACTGTATATCAAATACAGAGATGAATTCCACTGATTTTACATCGTTGTCATCAGCCTGCCTAACCCCGGCATACATCCAAGTTCCTTTTCTAGTTCATAACTGTCCCATTAATTTTCCTCCTTGAAAAAAAAATACTGCAAGGAGCACAGTCTACTCCAGCTCTCCAGATGTTGCGCAGTTTAGTTGATGGATCAGTTGTGGGTGATGGGGCTGGGTTTGCCTGAAAGTCCTTTGAATTCATCATTTTATATCTTGGAAGAAGAGAAGGAGAATAGCATCAAAACTAGAAACAAAAAAGACAAAAGAACAACACAATGCCAGGTAAGTGAACTCCAGGAACTGAGGAAAGAGCCATGAGCTGTGGAGAATCTGGGCAGGTATCTGATGCTGCCTCTGGAAACTTGCAGTTCCAGTGATCCACCTTGAATATTTTTTCTTTTCTTCTCACTCTTAGAACCAAAGACAGGCCTATTTCTCAAATCCACAGGCAAAGTGTTTCCTTAGGGTTTTGATTTTCAGACTCTCCTACATAGTCCATATTGTTTTTAGGAAAAACAATGCATTTCTATTCCAGCAAACATCTTCTTACAGGACACTCCTTTGAGCCCAAAATTTCTCCCTTGATCTGTCTTAGGGGCTGAAACTCATTAGAATTAGACTTTCCAGGTCTTGATCTATGTGCAGAGTTGTACAGAAAGACATTTATGTCCTTTGCTGACAAGCCAGTCTTCTGGGTAAGAAATAAGAAATAGGGATATGCTCAGAGGAAAAAGGGAAGATCTAAGGGTGTCACACGTGAGTAAGACTCTGTTCTCTTTCTTCCCACCTAAACATTACAGTTCAGATGCCTAAAGTGAGTGAGTTACTCTGAGGCAAGGAATGGATCTGGTTCCTGCAATGTTCAGAAGTTGGTCCGCTGCACACGTCTGGCTGGCCCTGGACTCTTAAATTTCCTGATGTCCCTTTCAAAGAAGGCCCTAAACATAAGCACAAAAGCAGACAAAACAAAAGCAAGTGGAAATATCATCCCTTGACCTCCAACATGGAGAAGCACTTAGATATTTTAAGACATGATATCTACATTAGAAGAGCCTAGAACCACTTACTTTTCTCTTTGGACAGAATATATAACCTTTGTTTAAGAGCAATGTAGCAAGGACATAGTTTCCTATATATAAATTTGCAGTGCCAAAATGTCAGCAAGACCCTCCTCATTTTGAAGTTTTCAAGAAAGGCAATTCATTAGATGTTTACAAACCTGTGCCCGAATGTGTATCAGGTTTGTGCTTACCACACGAGACTGTGCGCCTGCCCTCAAGGATTAAGTCGCCCTGGGTTAAGTGAACTCTTCCTTCCCTGCTTTGAGGAGACCTCTCGGGCATATTAATTCTGCATTCATCTTCCTCCTTTCACAGCCCTGCACTCCAAGGGCTAGGAACAGTTCTGTGAAGACAGAAGACGATTACTTCATTGGAAGAGGTCGATTTAGCATTTCCATTTCTCAAATTGAGCCGGAACTGGCACACGAGCCTCAGAAGATCAGCACCAGGGCCTGTCCAACTCAGCCCCCAGCAGGCCTCCTTTTCACGAAACTAGAAAAGGATGTATTTTCAGCATAGCTTAAAATGATCATCATGATTAGAAAGCTACTTCAGTGCACTGAGTCTTTAGAAGCCAAGATGCATTTATCTTTAACATGATCATATAATCTATAAGGGTGTTTTGAGGGTTTGGTTTTTTTTTTTTCTTTAAGTTTTTTTTTCCTAAGACTGGGCTTCCAACCTTAGAAATTATACTTGGCTTTCCTGCATGCACCCAGGGTATGTTAGCAAGCTGGCATCCTTTCCTGAGCTAACTAGCTGTGTGGTCCTCCTGTGCACTGTTAGAAAACTGCTACACATTCCCCTTAAAGCAGTGCTTTCCTGGGGGCTGCATGAGCTCGAACCTGAGGGTGAACAGTGCTGAAAAGATGCACTCGGTGAAGGGGGCTCTAGTGAAACCACTGTCACTAAGCAGGTGCCTTTCTTTTGGTCATGTGATCATGTGGCCCGCTTTTCCACAACCTTTCAAAATATAGCCAGGCCCTTTTACGGTGCCGGTGTCAAAGATTAGCCCTCATACTGGTACTACCAGCTGGCCATGCTGGGATAGGTTTTTCTGGTGAGTGGCTAGCACATTGCTGATGTCATAATTTACCTACATCAGAATTAAGACTTCACCGTTAAACAGTTCTTGAACTGTATATTATGTATGCTATATATTGAGTATATAGTGTAGTTGTATGTTAAATATACTGTGATATTCTGATTATAAAAATAATATATTCTTGTTGAAAAATAAGAATGTAAGTCACCCACAGCAAGCAAACAGGCACAGTGGAAACTCCCCAGCACTGCACTTTCTAATCTCACTCCCTTCTCCAAAGGTTTCCATCTTCAACCATATCCTTTAAAGAGCAAAAACTATTATTTTTAATCAATAACAAATTTTCTGAATTTTATTTCCTTTCAGATTCTTTGCAAACCACAAAGAAAGAAAAACAATGTCATTTAACAATTTTTCCACCGTGAGATTTTAAAGATTAGAGCTGCTTTTTTGTGTGTTTTGTTTTTTTAATGAAGTGATTCAAGGTAGGCAGTTGTCAATGTGAGAGAACTTACATATGCTATAATGCTATAATCGGGTTTTTGTTCACTCATTCATTCTCCTGCAATTAGGATTCTCCATAGCATGGAAGCTATAGACAGAAATACGCTAAGCTACAGGTGTTCCGTGTACCACAGAGAAAGGAAGGGTGTACTTGGCTGTCTCCATGAATAGGCCTTCCCTTAGATGAGGAAGTCATTTAAAAGAGAACACATGTGAAGTCATTGTTGATTGAAACTGATTACAGCCTTCAATTTTCTTTTTCACTGACCTCTCAGAAAAATGTCTCCTCCACCTGCTGCCATCTGAGCACTGAATTGGTCTTTTCCTACTTTGTTTTAATAGAACCAGGATTGCATTTGAAGTTAAGCTGCAAAAAACCAGTCGATCAACAGATTTTCGAGTCCCACAGTCAATATGCACCATGTTTAATGTTATGGTTGATGCCAAAGCTCAATCAACAAAACTTTGCAGCATGGAAATGGGCCAAGAGGTAAAAAAAAAAAAAAAAAAAAAAAAAAAAAAAAAAAAA